GCCATAAAATGAGCTTTTGACGCGCTGCTGCTGCGCTCTCATCTTCATCAGAGCAGAAGCCGACATTAGCAAGATGGATTTATGACTGAACGAACGTCCACATATTTTTTTCATCTCTGCGGGTAACAATACATAAAAAAAAAAAAAATTTTTTTCCTCCGAAAACACTGGTGTGAAAAAATCTACGGTTGTTAAACCTTCTTTCTGTGCGACGTGCAGCAGGGAAGGAGGGAGGAAGTGATCCTGCGACACGACTGCAAGATGTAACTTTTCTACAGAGGGAGGGGGAAATTTCGACGATTTATTCTCTCTTTACGTGTTTTAAAATGCCATATTTCTTCATTTATTTTCAGATGATTTTGAATAAATGGCCCTATAAAAAAATAGTTTACCTGCCCGGTCGGGCAGGCATTGGAACACACCCACATGCCCGACAATGGGTTTTACCTGCCCCGGGCAGTCGGGCAATAGGATTTGTCGAACACTGACTACTGTGCATGTGTGTCAAGGACAGAAAGGCAGATGTGGCAGTGGAAGGTGTCAAAGCAGTTTGGAGAGAAAAACAAAGTAAAGAACAAAAAAAAAGAAAACGATTAATCGATTATTAAATTAGTCATCTATTATTTTAATAATCGAATAGTCGTCGATTAATCGATGAATCGTTGCAGCACTACATTGTTTTCAATACCAGTGTCTTCAGAGCTGTAGTTAGTTGTCTCTTACAGCGGTAATAATATAGAAAACAATGAATTTATGATCTGACAACTGTATTAAATTACAGATTTATTGGAATTAAACAATGGTGACACAACAGTACCAGTCATTTTTTGACACACCTGCTTATACAAAATAAATCAATTGGTGAGTCAAAATGTTTGACTAGTCTAAATGTGTAAAGCTTTTTACTTAAATTATAGCTCAGGAATAGTTTTCCAAACTTAACATCTTTTTGTAGCGTATAATCAGTTTGACTTGATTAGTGTCCTGTAAAATTGGAACAACTTACAACACTATTTTTTATAGTTTTACAATTTTACATTATTAATTTTATAGAATTGTTGATCCAGAAGAAAATAAATGTGAAATTGTTCTCTCTGGGTTCTACTTACGGCTGAGATTATTCTGCCTCGTGATCTTAAGTCATAAGCACCTAAGTCTTTTTTAAATTGTGGGTTGGGGTATATTTTCCAAACTGTGAACCAAGGTCTTCAAGTTCTACATTCAGACTTTGTTGGATGTCTTCTAATGAATCAACTCTTCAGGATGTTTGTCACAGCTTTGCTTTTTCAACTATTCAGGTAAGAATACRGTTTTATTTCTTTCAGATATGGTATTAAGATATGGAATATGGTTATTTCATTTCATAGTGATTAAAACATGTGGTTGTATTTTATCTAGCACTATCAATTGTAAATATATTTTTGGGTTAAAGTTGAACCGTGTTATTTTTAAAGAACCAAAGGGACAGTTTATCTGCTGTGGACCCAAATCGAAGTGTTTTAATGGGTTAAATGAGAAAGAAGTATACATAATTTAACTTTTTTGTTTTTTTTTTCTCCACATTATTGTATCACTGTTTTTGGCTTGATGACATAAATGTTTTATTTGAATTACCAGCTAATATTAGCTACAGTGATCAGTCTTATTTCATTTATCAATCATATTTCCATTTTAAATATATATAATGTGGTGCTCAGATAAGGGAAGTTATTTAATGAAAAAGACTGCTATAATTCTGTATTTTGTATTTGTCCTTTCAGTTGCCTTGTTTTTGTAACATCAAACCATGCTTTCATGGTTTTTACTTTAATGAACATTTCTTGAGTTCTAAAAGATTCAAAATAAAAACACTTGCTCAAGGTCTCTCTAATTTTTATTGCATGACCTATTTTCTTATGATGGGGTCTAAAATGATTTGGTCATTTATTTTGTCATTTTAATTTGATGGCCTAATGTTCTTGTTTAACTTTAAATGCAATGTTTGTACATTAGAGACCATGTCATCGTGTTTCTTTGCAGTGGACAGCCCAAATGAAGACGGCAACACAAGAAGTTCCTGGCCAAGATGAGCCATTTTAAAGCAGGTACTTAACATATGTGAATTTAGAACATGTAAAAAAAAWTTTAAAGCTGCATCTGTACATCTTGCTTGTTGTTTGCAGCATGCATGAGTTAAATTTTACATTTTATTTTTTTGTATGAATTTTTTATAACACTTTAAGTCTCTTATAAAAAATAGAAAGCTGGACACTTCTTAGGTGTCCTTTTATGATTAAGTCAAAATTTTAATGTCATGCCTGTAGATTAAGTTTCAGTGCATGCTCTGTTTTTTTCCGTGTAGCATTTCGTTTAGCACGCTATAACTACCTGGTTAGTCATTTACCCTGTCAAAGCACTGCTTGATCCAATAAAGCTATTAATTGCTCTTAAATGGGTCACATGTGGTTATTGTACTGAAGATTTGTTTTTTTTTATATATATATATAAATGTTGGGCTAAATATYGGTGCGTGTCCAACATTTAGACTTTGGTTAAAATGATCCTGGTTTTTAACGGGGTGTTGCCAAGGTGCTTAAGTTTTTAAAGAGCAATTTCAAAATGTGCATAAGAATTTACAAAGGAAATCTCAATAAATATATATTTTCAAATAAAGCCACATCACTAAAGTTTAGGGAAAATTTTTAGCTTTTGCTTTCCCTCCCATTTTTATTTTTTTAAACATCTGCTTTAAGTTCATTCAATTTCTTCATGGGGTAAAATTTGGCGATGAGTCTTACATATACTTGTTTTTTTACAGGGGTGTACTGTTGAGAGGAGATCATGTGAAGGAAAGACGAGCTTGGTTGAAGAGCGAAGTTCAAGTGGTGCTCTTAGATTCACTTCTAACATTAACAATGCAAGAAATGAAGAGGGTGTTCCAGCCTCAGCAAAAAAGCATGTGCAACAAGACTTGGATTTAAAAAAAACAAACTATCCTGTCATTATAAACACTGAACAAGTAACGGTGAGGGAAAGTGAAAGTACACAAAGTGGGAGCAGTAATGCTGGATTCAAGTCATCCCTCACACCAATTCAAGAAAAACAAAAGTTAACAGAGGAAGAAAATGTGTGGGATAACAAAAGGACTTTGAATATGTCAGATACAAATGTAAATACAGAAGTGGTCAAACTGCAAGACAAAGGAACGGAACAAAAAAGCATGACTAAAAATAACTGGTCTTCCAAACAAATAAGTGATTCATGCAATGAAGCAGAGGGGGTGATTCCAGGTAACTCGGATGTCACAGATCCAGTTTCTTTCAAGTCAGACACAGAAGAAATGGTTAGAAAACCGTCAAGTGACCAGAGGAAATCCAAGGAGATCCATCAACCAACACTGTCAAGTCAAAGATCGTACAAGAAAGTGCTTGAAACAAACTCTACTATTTCAAAGAAAGACAAAAAGGAAACCATTAAAAAGCACTTCTGCTTGTATTGCAAAAAGCCTTTTCCTCAACTTGTGAAGCATTTGGAAAATAAACATGCAGAAGAAACAGATGTTGCCCATGCAGTGCACTTCCCCAAAGGTTCCAAAGTCAGACAGACATTGCTTGATCAAATTCGCAATAAAGGAGATTATGAGCATAACTGCCAAGTTCTCAAAAGTGGTGAGGGAGAAATTGTTACCAAAAAACAGACAAAAACAACTGTACCTGTGCGTGACTTCTTGCCTTGCCAGCACTGTTTTGCATTTTATCGTAAAACTGATTTATGGAGACACGAGCAAACATGTAAAGTAAGGAAAGGAGATCAGAAATCTGAAAATACAATCGTAAACAAAGGGCGTAATGCTGCCTCCAGCTTTATACCAATGTCAGAGTTCTTAACTGGAAGCTGCAAGGAAATCGTTAACATCATGCATCAAGATGACATCGCCAAACATATCAGATTTGACCCACTTATTTGTAAATATGGCAATGCATTGTCTGCCAAATATGACAATGACAAGTCCCAGTTTGCTTATATTGCACAAAAGATGAGAGAGTTGGGTAGATTTGTGCTTGCTGTAAATGAACTTGACAAGACTGTGAAGTACTTGCATGAAATATGTCTACCATCCAGATTTGAATTAGCTGTTGAAGGGGTCAAAAAAGTTGGTGGGTTTGACCCCACTTCAAGTAAATTTAAAACCATTTCTCTTGTTTCAAAAATTGGCTACTCTTTGAAGCGTGCAGCAGAGATAGCTTTTGGAGAAAGCCGCATGACAGAGGATGGTGAAACAGAAATTGAATTAAAAAATTTCATACACCTACTTGATACAAAATGGAACAAGTGTTTTTCTCGCAAAGCGCTTGTCAGTTCTTTAAAGCAAGAAGTCAAAAAAATTGATGTAGACAAGTCAACTGTGACCGAAGATTTGATGAAGCTCCACAGATTTATTACCGGAGAAGAGGATGAAGCAAGAACTGAGCTAAGACAAAATCCCAGCATGTCTACGTGGAAAAAGCTTAGCGAAGCCACTTTGGCAAATGTCTGTCTTTTCAATAGAGGAAGAGTAGGAAATGTAGGTAGGCTTCTCTTACAAAATTACACTCAAAGAAAGAGTAGAGGTGCATTTATTCCCTCGACAGACCAAGTAAGGAAAAGCACAAAACTGGAGTTGGACTTTGGTTCAAGTTTTATAAGACTGGAACTAGAAGGTCAGTTTGGAAGAAACATGCTGGTTCTGTTAACAGACAGGATGGTTTCATCAATTGACCTGCTTGTTGAAAATAGAGTGCAAGCAGGTGTGTCAAAAACCAACCCATACCTGTTTGCAAGAACTGAAGGGCCATCTTTTATTCGAGGACTAGATTGTTTTCGAAGGGCTGCTATGGAATGTGGAGTGAAAAATCCAGAAGCACTCCTGTCTTCATCATTAAGAGAACAGATAGCCTGCTGTTGGCAGATCATGAGCCTTAATGAACACGAACTGGATCAAGTGGCAAAGCTGTTGGGAAGAAGCAACCTAGAGTGTTACGGCCTTTCCAAAAATGCATCCCAGCTGGAGGAAGTGAGCAAAGAACTGTTGAAAATGGATCAAGGACTACTATCAAGTCCACAGAGGACTCCAAAAGATGGTAACTATCTCCCTTTTTTTGCTTAAGATGTTAGTGTGTCAGTATATGATCCTTCAACACTATTATAAACATTTTATGCAAATATTAAACTTGCACTTATGCAATGAAGCAATAGGTGTTCAAACATCCCATTTTTTAAATGCAATTCTAAATTTAACTTTAACTTGTACTTGGAGTAAAAACTTCACTCTGAGGTTTGTTGAATTCAAATTGTATTTGGTTTTTTTTCTCTTAAACTGAAGAATAACATTAAATAATTTGAACAAATCATTATCCTTTAGAAGAGAATGGTCAATATTAGACCCAACCCAGTTGTTTTGCACATATCTCTCTAAACAGAATTGTTGCCAAAACTTGTAACAAATAAACATGCTTAATGCCCTAAATTGATTAGTATTTGGTGATCCTCCAAGGATTAGTCCTTTTCCTGTTCTCTGTTTTTAAAACTATGTTGCATAACTGTTTCTGTGCAAATGACCCTCAACTATACCTGTTTGTAAAATACAAAAAAGTCCTAGGAGTTTCACTAATTTCAGATTTTGTTTCTAGCAATAAACTCTGGATGGGTCAGAATTTCCTTGAATTCAAAAATGATGAATCAGAATCAGTTTGTTCCCCTAAATAATTTTTTAATTTTATTCAGCTGAAGACAGTCTTTAAAAATCAGGTCATATCCTTGTTCTGTTTGTCCAAAGGTCATGCATTTTGTTAAAAAAAATCACTAAAAAATATTTAGACTTTTATGTCTCTAGCAGGAGTTTTCCGTAAACTGACTCCTTTTAATTGAATTACATTGCCACTGTTCTAATTTTTTTTTATCTCAGTTCTTTTAAATTATATTGACTTTCCCTTTTATTAAATTAGTTTTGAATGTTTGGTAATATTTCAGGCAGTATTGCTTTTGTGAAATATCACCTGACTGAACTCACCCTGTTCATTTTGTTTGGAAAAGGACAATACATTCATCATCAGTTATCATATATAATATGATAACATCAGTTATCATATATAGTATGATAACATGTATATTATTGTTTTCATAAAAGAACACTAATATATATTTTTATTTTTTTAGGAACTCGACAAAAGCAACCTTTAAAGAGAAGACCCTGGAGTGAGAAGGAACAGGCGGCTGTGAAACGCTACTTGAGTGACTTCTTCACAAGGATGAAGGTCCCAGGCAAAAAGGAATGCAATGCTTGCATAGCTGCTGAACCAGACCTTGGAGGAAGGTCTTGGACAGATGTCAAAAACTATGTACACAACAGCTTGCAAACAATACGTAGGAGAAATAACCAGCAGAAGTTGGATGGAAATGAAAGTTTATTGAATCCAAAGAGTCCAAAAGCTGCAGTTGAAACCAAATATACAAATGCTGAAGACACAAGTGTTGTGTGTACTATGACAACAGTAAATCCAGAACACCTGCAAGAAAGTTATATGACCATGCCGTCACCAGTAAACACGAGAGGCTCACCAACATACTTCCAAGAGATGACGACAAGTTATGCTTCCTTGGCTTCCACTAGTACAGATATGCTCTGTACAAGTCAGCCATTATTTTCTACGTTTACGGCATTAAATGCAACAGATACTCAAGTGGTTCCTACATTTACTCCACACAACACTACAAACACCCTAATGTCTCATGTGTACTCATCAGATAACCAAAATCTTCCAATGTCATCATTTTATACACAGAATGCCACAAGTATGTTTCCTTCTTCTGTGTATACCCCACAGGACACAAGTTCATCAATGTTTTCTTCGTTCACTAACTTTAATTCTCCATGTACTTCAATGGGTCCTACGTACACACAATTAAATACTCTAAGTGCACCGATGGTCTCTGCATTCTCAACACTAAATGACGGAAGTAAATCTGTGATGTCATCGTTCACACCCCTGAACCATTCAAGTATCTCCACTTACCACTCAAGCCCACCTGCTACTGCGCAGGTTGTCCCCTCATTTCATGGACAAAGTGTTTCTGAAAACACTCAGGTGGCACAGGAAAGTACACCTGTGTCTTCTGCAGGAAAACGAGCTACACAAGGTGTGAAGCCTCAAAAAAGAAGCAAGAGGTTGTGGAGCGAGGAGGAACAGGCAGCAGTGAGGCGTCAGTTTGGAGAGTTTTTTAAACTTGTAAAAGTGCCGGGAAAAAAGGATTGCGACGCATGCTTGGCTGCTGAACCTGTCCTTAGCACTAGGACGTGGAGAGAAGTCAAATATTTTGTACATAACTCCATTCAGTCTCTAAAAAGAAGAAGTCAAACAGATGCCCCTAAACAAAGTATACCACCAGAACCAGAGATTCAGACTTCCAACACTGAGTGGGATGGTCCAGTATATCTGTCACTGTAAATAATGGACTTGCACAAAAACAGTAAGGGATGAAGATTTTCATGTTCTCTGGCTTTACTTCCGATTCAGTGGGGCTTTAAAATTCAAAATATGTGCTTTTGTTTCATGTATGTTGACTGTTCACAGTCTCGGTTTTGGTATTTACAAACAGTCCTGCCATTCCTTAAGTTATGAACTTTATGATAAAAGCGTGCTGATGTTTTCAAAATTAAGTTCAGTGACAAAGTTATTTGGTGCATGAATGTACACTGAGTGGGAAAATTTAAAGCAGAATTTTGAAACGTTTAGCTAGCTTATTTTAAACCATGCTAATCTTTCAGACCCCAAGTAATATCTTTTAACTTATACTTTATTTTGTCATCGTTTACAAACTTGTACCAGTCAGCGGCAATGAACAGTATTAACATAACCCCGGTGAACCTATGACTAAAGCTTCCTCCTCAAAGTCACCAGGGCATTTGTCTTTTTCTCTTGATAATTTCCTGTTGCGCAAACTCTAACTTTATTCTCATAACTTGCCTGTATGGCTATCCTTTCCACCTGTACTGTTTCAGTAGCTTTTTTTGTAATATGTGGGGAAAAGATGTTTTCGAAGTGCTGCAGTCAATCCTGCCAACTTAATGCTTACATTAATTTGCTTTGCATCGTTAAACCCCTAGTCCAGTATTACTGTATTCTTGCTTCTGCTTGTAGCCTATACTGTAGGTAGCCTTCATACCTTGCGGCCTGAAGTTAAATATTTAAGCTATGCGTGTTTACCTGTTTCCAGAGGAAGGGAAACTTAAGCTTTTTGTAACACTATATAATGACTGTTTAGGTTTTTCTTTGTATTTTACAGAAACTATCTTAAGGTTCTTATTTTCATTGTATTATTTTGTTTCAAACATTTCTTATCTGGATGTTATTTTACTTGTGCCATTATTGCTTGCATTGAATCTATAGCTTGAAGTGCCTGTGACACTTGTTTCCTACAAATACAAAAATGGAAGAAAACATCTTAATATTTAAGAAATGTGGCATAATACACGGTTTTAACTTTCTTTTTTTTTTAACATAACTGCCATTTTTGTTTTGCTTGGTGAGCAACAACAAAGGGGAAATCCCTGGCTTATACAAACTCCGACTTGTCGTTTCTCTCAGATTGTAACTAAAAATAATCTAAAGAAACATCAGATTCTTCAATACTGTTTGTGTTGTTTGCTGTTGTAGCAATGTTTTGTTCACATGCAGGCATTCTCCTTTGTCATCACTTCCTGTTACTGTGCATGCAAATATCTCTGTTCATCTCAGCGGCATTTTTTTTTTTTTTTTGTAAAATGTTATTGTTCCAATAATGCATTCTTATTTATTTTGAAAGTTTGATGTCACAGGCACTTTAAGATGTTTGATCCTGATTCAGTTGTGTAGTATATATTATTGGTTTTCTGTTTTGTTTTTTTGTTTGTTTGTTTGTTTTTTTTTTTGACTATTTAAATCCAATAAAAGCTAATGTCATCAGTGGCCCTAAAAGACCATTGATTAAAAAGTTATTTTCCAAGCCTAACTATTGTCTCCTTTAACAATTTTGCTGTTATTTTTTTTATTAGTATTATTTTAGTAGTACTTGGTATTTGTAACAAAGTTCTTGTTAGGGGTTTCAAACTAACACTTGAACAGGTTTCTTACATTTCAGACTGTTTTGGTCTGTGGTTTACCTAAACAGCCTTGTAACATCTCATACATTTTTTACAACTAGTTTTTTACTCTGAATATTCATCAAGGTCAACTTCTATCTTCTGACAAATAAATGCTGACTTTGAAGATATTCTTAATATTACAAGTAAAATTTTCTTTGGAGTCAGCTGGAGAAACTTGGTGTGGTTGAGACATTTCTGTCAGATGCATTTGTTAGATCCAGTAGCAGCTGCAGTAAACCTGTTGAACCAATGTTCTTTTTATACCAAAGTCATTAGTGTCAAACGTGTAAAGCTAAAGAGTTATAAATCTGGGTTGACTTACTTTGTTCCAGTGTTTGTTTTATGTGTGGATGCTTTCTTACAACAAGGACTTTGTAGCAACACATACAGTATCTAGAGAGAGTTTTAAATGTTGTGCTTTGGTGTTGCAGACTTTTGCCCCTTTGTTGCTGCTGTATAAGCACATGTTGCTGTTCATCCTGTTTATTGTGTCCCTTCAGTTAATGCTTTATTGTAGTAAAGTTATCATATCTGCTTAAACAATAAAATGCTTCCTGGCTTGATATTTAAAACTGATTGGTTTTGTTTTGTCTTTTGTTGGTTGTGTGTGTTTTTTTTTTTTTGTTTTGTTTTTTTTGTTTTTTTTTTTGTCAGACCTTTTGGTTGGCGGACAGTGCAAAGAAAAAAAACACTTATTAGCTTGAATATAGTATAAAGCTGATGAAGTAGAAGCTAAAAGGTTCTGCTCAAGGACAGTGATGTGTTTTAGATTTGACTACATCCATTTTGTTTCCAAGTGCTCTGGGGCAACATGTGGCTCTTTGGTCTCTGCAGTGATTCTTTTCTAGCTTTTACAAAAACCAATTAATATTTATATTCTCTACAATAAAAAGCCTAGTTTTAGCCATTTTGGTCTAACAATAAAAAGCCTAGTTTTAGCCATTTTGGTCTAWTTTTATGCAACWGTGAGAATGAAWTGTACATRAYAAAACTACTGATAATACAAAAAGTAGCAAAGGATCATTTTGTGCTAATAGTTTGTTTAATTTCAAACTGGCAGGATAAAGTTTCTGTAAAAGTCATTACGATTTTGAACACGTCTCTGACAGTAAACAAACTCCAGTTTTGTACACCTACCTCAGATTACTCTCTTACATGTCATTGAAATTATTCTTCAGAAATAAGTTGATGTTGAATATTTATTTTATAGCTAAAGACCCAAGGACTGGCAGCTGCAGATATTTTTTTAAAAGTTCCAGTTTCAAATAATTCAAACATTCTCACAATTTGGGTTTTTCTCTGAAGAGCAGCATCGTAATTTTACATTTTTTAAATTAATTCTAAGACAAATGCAGGACATAAAGTTAACTATCAGCCTGTTTTATGCAGATGAACATGTTTACATAACTCAGGGAGATGTTCTGTTAGTTTTCTTCAGGTCATTGTGACAAAATCATCGACAATTATGATATCTGTTAGATTTTCAGTTTGCATCCTCAACATGTCCTGTTCCTCATAAAGTATATTTTCAAACATGTAACATTATTGGAAACTTGAGTTATGATGATTTGTTGCTCTAGATAGGTTTAGGAATGGTTCTTTTGATTGTAAAGCCTTCAGGATGGTGCTGAATGAAATGTTTTTGTTACTAGAATTCATTTTCAAACAATATGGGTTCACTAAAACAATAGATGTCTTATGTAAATATAAAAATGCTTAATAATAGTTTCTTTTTGTTATCCAAAGTTTGTCCTATTTCTGTTAGGTTAGTGAGAGGTTTCTGGGTATTGAATTAATGCTTTTCCTGTTTGTCTGCAGGACGTCAGTGGCATGTCGTTGTGCATGCTGGCAGCAGCCGGTGGACAGGACGACATCCTGAGGCTGCTGATAAAGAAGGGAGTGAGAGTGAATGCCAGACAGAAGAACGGCACCACGGCACTGATGCATGCTGCTGACAAGGTAACGACTTGTTCATACCTGCCAACGTTTGCTGATGGCAGAGAGGGACACCTGTACGTATTAGTGAACATCTGTGGTGCAACCTGATTCTAGGAGGATCCATATGCACCCTGAGAAACCTAATAGAGAAACTATACGTTTCAGTTAGCCTTCATTGTTTCTTTTTTCATATRGTATTTACACACTCCCCTGGTGGCTCTCCATGAGCAGTAAAACCTCTGGTTGTGAACAAAGATAAAACAAAAGTCAGATCTGAAATCTTGTTTTCAAAAATATACAGTAAATTCCATCTGCACCCTCTCTCATACACTATTTCTGCCTCAACAACTAAAGATTACTCACATTTCCTGAAACTTTAGGACAGGGCTATTCAACTGGCGGCCCGCAGGCCACATCCGGCCTGCGAGTGACCAAAGTTCTGCCCGCCAATTGGTTCATTCATTTCTTAAGCCCAAACTCCCGGTTTTCTACTTTAATTTATCCAAGTTCTTTTAGTCAAACATAGACATGTTTGGTATCTACAGAAACTTCAGGATCTTGGCGACAAGCTGGTAAAAACCATTTCTATGAACATCCAAGACAGTTAAAACTTCAAGCAGTTGAAAATAAAACTATGAAAGTGAAAATAAAATTGGTTGAAAAATTTGGCAAGTTAGAGATGTCAAAATATTGTTTTTGTTAAATAGGAGGCATAATGTGTTATTTTTGATATTATTTCATTATCACTACTTTTATAGGGTTCTGTATGTTGTAATAATGATTAAATGCAGCAAAATAAACTATTTCAAAAGGTAACAAATCTTTGTAATACTTGGTTTATTTATAAACTACAGACT